TTTTCTCTCTTTTTTTTTTTACATAAAAACTCAGTCTTTTGCAAAACAAGTAGTAACATTTTGTGAGCACAAATTCGTATTCAAATCAGCCGATTCAGACAAAAGGCAGCACAGGCACCTAGTTTATCAACGGCAGATATTGCATTTCCACAGTATGATGATCCTATTCCATTCTGTCTGCCCTTGACATTTGTCGCTTGTTACAAAAAAAAAAAATCAAATCAGAGGAAGATTTTTGCAAAGTACAGAAATCAAGGGAGCACATAAAAGTCAACATGCTGCAGCGAGCACATTTGGTTGTCAATCATTTTGGAAACAAACAAATACTGAAGAATCTCCACGCACGCAATCGCCTTATTCACACCTTCCAAGCCTAAAAAGTCATCCATATGTCTCTGTGCTGGTCTGCGCCCCACAAGAGCTCAGCGATGCTGAGTGTCCCAAAACTTCCTGGTAAATTAACTAGTCAAGTTCATAGCTGCTGGTTGCAATCTTTTTTTTTTTTATGACCTACTGCCAAAGATTATTCACCTCTGGACTGCCTTCTTAACTGATGACGCCTGTGGCTTCAACAATATTAACATGCTCAAATCCTGAAGACCAGACATCTCAATCACGAGAACCAATTAAAGCACTACAAACATGCCTATTTTCATACCTGGAGTAACAGTCTAACAATTGTTCTTAAACTATTTGAGCATGCACTGTGAGTTTATGCACAACCTAATGAGATCAGGGAGTAAACTAGGATTATTATTACAAATATCAAGTTGGAATAACACCTTTTGGTGTCAGGTAATGAAAGAAATCCCTTGTGGGGGAAGAAAAAAAAAAAAAATCACAATTAATTAATATTCTTCTAATTATGCTGTTTTAAATCTAGAGAGCAGATTGGAATTGAAACAACTCCCTATACCAGTAATATTCACATGCTATATTATTGCATAGGCTATCTGCATGAAATGGATGTGAATAAAAACACAAAGGCCATGATTAAAGGTAAAAGTTGAAAGGTAGCGGCTCTTTAGCACTGGCGTTGCTAATCAGGTGAACTGCAGTGTGAAGTGGATACAGCTTGAAGCTGCCTTTAATTAGTTAATCTGTGACACCTGGGCTACTGCGGGCAACTGTGCACGACAACAAGACTCACTGCGACCACACTCGCACTTTCTTATCCTGTCTAAATTACTGCGTAAAAAAAAAAAATCTCCCACAAGACCCCAGAAGTCTGCTTGCAGCTAATGCTAAACGCTGGGGAAAGTAAATGAAGCGTTTGAATCTGAATTTCCGTCAAATTGCTGCACAATGTGTTTGAGTAGTAACACCAGCAAGCAGCTTTTAAACAATTAATAAAAAAAAACAAGCTGTGTATTATGGACTTTGGAAACCGGGCCGTGTAGCATTGGCTGCAGCATTTTTTTTTTTTTAAACGCGGTTTGGTGAGACTTATCATTCAGGGGTAAAAGTGCAATTTAACTAACACTGGGTTTCGTTTCGGCACTTGGTTACTCCTGCAAGCTTGTGTCAAGCTAAAACCCTGAATTTCCAAAATGAGTCTGCCGGCAACATGTGACTCGCTGACATCGCCTGTGCAGCTTCTCTTTCACACTTTGTCAACTCCATGTATTTATGCACAGTTGATTTTTTACACTTATTATTATTTATTTTTCCCCTTGTTATCCCTTCTCTCAGAAGTCTTACCTTGTTAGCTGTTGTATCGGCGTCGCGGGTATTTATTGCATAAAGTCTGCAGACATCAAACTCTCGGTCGCAGTTGTTTGCGCAGCAGTAAAAAGGGGCGGTGGCGGGAACGCGGCCATCTAAGTAAACTAATCAGACCCTCAGCCAATCAGCGAAGGCACCGTCTCTTACCCGGAAATGCACTATTAGCTAATTGATTTTCTGCAGGTGTATCTGTGCTCTGTGTGCTACATTGCATTGAGCATCATTGGAGCTACATTCTTAAGCAAAACAACAACACAACAATGACACTGCGGAAGCATATAGCTCCTTAAAACTGCCTATTGGTGCCAACAGGGTCCATAGTGTGATCAGAGGAAACAGGAAACAATTAGATAGGCTCTAGTTTAATTCTGCTGCTCTAATAAAAAATAAATAGCTTAATAAAATGGCCGTTTCTGTTTAAGGATTAATTAGCCCTGTTGATAGGCTATTGTTGTTCCCCGGTTCCCCTGATAATGACATTAATATAAATGAATGTTGCTTGATTTTTTAAAATAAATCCTAAATAATCCGGAATGCTGGTGAATTGATAATGGCATTAAAAAAAATTAAATAAATAAAAAAGGTTAGAATCCTAACAGCAGCTGTGTTGTGACATCAGCTTGTCTCCACCACACAAAATCCATCTTGCATCGAAACTGAACAAATGTCAATCGCAGCAGAATTTTACAAAATACAATCCAGAAACTCCAAGTAGCATAACACACAAGCTGCACTTAACCTATATAGCAAAGTACTACTCCTTTTAAGAGTTACACTCAATCTTCAGCCCTGGAGGCTGTTTTGCATTTAAATTGAAGCTTACCTTAAAACACCTCTTCCTTTAAACCACTTCTGATTTTAGCCACGTATATCATGCTATTTTATTGCTATAACCTAAGCAAAAGGCAAGTTTACTTTTGAATGACACAGAAAAACCTATTTGGTCGATTTGTTCAACTCTGGTATTAATGTGAAACGCCCCTTGTAAAACACTGTACTCAGGCTAATAATTCCCATATCCAAACGCTTTAACCTAAGATTCAGTAAAATAAGCCACTACTATGCGGATCTCACGTTTAAGCACTCCAACAAGGCCTATATTTCCCTACACTAGTAGAATAAATGCGTTCGACCAGGTCTGCAGCCCTTGGATGGTTAAGATTTGAGCACATGTGCTGAGATCGGCTTCTTGTCCTATCGTGCACGATATGCCAAGGCACCGAAATACAGAGTAGAAAACCATCAGCCGTCAGAGGAAGCATGACTGCATCACGGTGACTTTCCTGTCGCGTTTACATGCAACAAAAAAAAAAAAAAAAAAGAGCTGCCCGAGACTACAGTGGAGGCATGATCTGAATCCACACACTGTCCTCAAAGAAGCTGACAAAGGCGAACATATCGATTTAAAATGGTTCAGGTGAATGAGCAAATGTGGAAAAATAGCTTACCGTTTCTATATACGAAAGTTATGGACGTCCTTTAGGGCAAACAATCTCTGAATGACAAAACCTGGCCAATAGCTCGTGAAAGGATGAATTCCGCTCTCTTTAGTTCAAACTTAGAAACATAAAAAGCCAACACAAACAAGATAAAATGAGGAAATGAAATATTTATTAAATCAAAACACAGAAATGAGCTCCTTTCAGCAAATGCATGAAACAAAAAAGGAAAAAAAGAACAGAAGAAATAAAAGGAATCAAATAATTAAAAAAGCCGGCTTCTGCCTGTCTCGCTCTTTACAGGTGCGCCACACAAATACGCGACATCACTGAGTGGAAACCAATGCGAGGAGGAGGTTGTCTTTAAAAGGAAGATAGTCCTGCCGGTGATATATATAGGGCCGTATCACAGCATGCCTATACCTCTCCGCTCCCTCCGTTTCATCCATTCAACCTACACATGAACACGCATTGCACGCGGAAGTATACCCGGAGTAGCTCCATCCACCGCTTGTGCACACGCGAGCTCTTCACTGCCATTGGCTCGAGCGCGGTCCTCGCCGGGGCTCGAGCGTCTCTACAAATCACAGGACGCCATTCGTCCTCGCCCCAGTCAGTCAACGCGATCAAGCGTTTCTCTTTTTTCCCTAAATATGGCATTTGAAGTCAAACATCGCCTCGCCGAGACACACCGTGTCTTCAGAGTACTCGTTCGCGCAAACGTGTTTTACGCCACATCATCACAGTGTCACCCTCATCCGAGAGAAAAGAAAACTGACTCAACTTAGGTCATTTTGCGTGCTTTTTGCACGTCCCCCCCACCACCACCCCACCCTCCACCCCCAACGTTTTCAACAGGAGATTATATCCCACTTCTACCCTTGAATGAGACAATTAAACCCCGAAAAAACAAATTAAGACCACCAGCTATCGTCTTCTCCTCTCACCCGCCCTCACTGTCTTACCAGCTTTCACTTACAATCATTAATGTGGACACAAAGATCTGAATTCGGCGCCTGATATTGCGCTGCAAACCCCTTTTGTTGGAGGTTTCAGCACCACGGAGAGCTCCAGTACAGTATCCCTGTAACAGCCCACATGCTTCCTACTGTCCGCCTGTTAAGACTTACAGTCAATGGTCAGCCCTCGGAGCTCGACCTATTGGGCTGCAAACAAAGGAGGATGTTAATTTGGGCTCCCCTGGCGAATTTGAAACAATAGCAAAATGCTCTAGTAGTAGTAGTAGTAGTAATATAACAGCAGCGTGATGGACTGTACAGAGGGAGGCTTATCACATGCACATCTTTTGTCGGCTTTCAGAGGGTGGAGCAACAGTTTGGCTCATGTGGACACAAGGGGAGAGGGAGATCGATGCTCTCAGTAGAAAATACAGTTTGAAGCAAATATAGTTGCAGGCTATAAGCCCATAAGGTGACTGCAGAACACCTGCAACACAATACTGGAACATATTGTATACCATACCATGTAAGTTTAGCTGCATGATGGAACCGATGCGAAATCAATGGCAGGATCATGACATGTTATTTAAGAGGTTTCATGTAAATCTCTTGAAATCCAGTCGCATACATACACAATCCTCTCCTAGCATGCAATCTGTAAATGAAAAGTCAGACATGGCAGATCTGTGTCAACAAATGGACAATTTTATTTAAAAACCATAGTTGATAGTTAACTAGAAGAAGTCTCATACAGAGATAAAGGTTTGAGAAATGTGCACAGCGGGATGCTTCACAATGTGAAAACTAAAAACAGAGAAGTTGATAAATGATAACAGTCACAGCCTCTCCAGAGCTGCAACAGAATGATGTGGTTCAGTCTTAATTTAAATCTTTAAAATGAGGTTTTAAAAAAAAAAAAAAAGTTCTGTAGAGGAATTCTGCATACAAGAGATAGAACCGTTCTTTTATGATAACTATGTTTGAACACAGCTAATTCATCATTGATGGCTAACTCATGTTATACGTGCAGAGAATGTTTGGCAAAATACTCAGTACAAGAAATCTGAATAAATCACTGTATGTCTGCCACAAAAAATGTTCTACAGAGAAAACTACAGGAGCTATCATACACATATGTTTGTTCATGAGTGTTTTGATTTAAAAATTGAACAAAACCTTTCAGCTTTCTGTGGGACCATCAATACATTAAACCCCCCCAAAAAGCTTTTTTTGTAGTAGTTCATGAATAATGAGGAAAAGGTAAATGTTCTCTAAAGTATGCACAGCTTTTAACAACATGTAACTTGGAAAAAAAATACATAATCCTGCACACTTCTCTTGCTAAGCATCTCCAAATTTATTAGAAAAAACCCAACCTTTTCAGTCCCTTTGAACCTTTGTCAAAAACACAATGTAAGAAATAAACATCAACAAGTGAAGTGTGCAGAAGAATACAAATTGTGCTGAAACATTTTATGTATATTTTTACATGTATGTGTCCAATCATTGATTCAGAAAATGACATCACAATGTCTCTCACTCAGTGACACAAGATGGTGTTTATGGAAACACTGGTGCAAATGTCTCTTTGTATTTTAATTCCTCACAAATTGTGAACTGTAGTGATTTAATCCCCTCGTTGATTGTATTTATTAGAAGCGTCAAAAGAGTGACCACGTCAGGACAGAAAACTGCAGCTCCCTCCTTTGGTATTTCATCAGCCATGGTCACTCATGGAGCTTCTCTACGCAGCCACACAAAGAATACTTCATCATAAAAAGCACAACTGAATAAATGGGTCTGAAATATGTGATAAAGTAATACTACTTCATGAAGTTTAGAGGCGCACATCTTGCATGCTCTTTGCAATTTTGAGCATTTTGTGAATTAGAGAGCATGTTTTTGGTTGACATCATTTTTACATAAAACAAAATGGAAGGGCTCCCGGTCTAGTGTTGAAACAACAAGTGTTTAATGATGATGAAATCCATAGAAATTGAAGTAAGAAAAAACTTGAAATTTGGTTTTAACTTATACATTCAGGAAATTCTGCTCATAGTCAGTAGAAATGTCTGAAAGTGCTCTTGGGAATGCCAATTATTCTCTTAAGGAAGTTTTCAAAATCAAGCTGATTAATGATATCCTCTTTTTCTCTCCCTAGATCACCTGATGAAAGTATAACATTTGAAACGTACAGGAGTGCACAAAAACACTTATAGCGAGTTCTGCTGGACATATATGTGATAGAGAAAACGTTAGTGCTCCGATCTTAGACGTAGGCGAATGTTGAAGCGCAGCTCCACTACAAATCAACTAAGTTTGACGGAGTTTCATTTTTCTGCCTCAGACTTCTTCAAATTAGCATGACAAAACTCAAACATTTTAAGGTCAAGGAAATCAATCTTCTTAAAAGGTATTTCCAGGCTTTTAAATCTTTATGACAGCACATATTTAAGACTTGCTGCTCTGGTTTTTAGCTTTAGGGGAAGTTATTCATGCCCACAAATATCAATTAGATCATTAGCATTTAGATGGCGTCGAAGAATTCTTAAAATGAAGGAGAACACGGACCTTTTGGCCCTTTTTTTTAATGGTGATTTGTGAAAGTGTGTCTCAAAAGAATGTCAGGAAGGCTTACTGGGTTGGTAGATTATATTTAAAAGATCAGACACAATGAGAGGTCAATCTATCAGGATAAAACCGGCACCAGAACTTCCATGTGATGTTCCTAGAAATAGAATTAGACAGGGAAAAATAGGGTGGCGGCAAATTAACAGCTAATAAAAACGAGCTGCTAAGCTAATTTTTCTTGTCATCTGACGAATCAACTCTTTCAATTCAGGTAGTGCCAGGCTTCTTTTTTCAGAATCTGACTTGCTAAATCCCCTTAGACAATATCACAGCATAGCAGTCCATAATTTTGGCTCAGGGTTGAATAAATACAAAATCTCTTGGTGTATTAAATATTAAGCCACCGGGGAGATTTCACCCTCCAAGGCAACATTTATTAGAAAATCTTACCAGACTTCATGTAGCTTTGGTCCAGCACCATCTTCCTGTCAAGGCCTCACAGCATGCTGCTGGAGGAGCCTCACAGCGCCCAGGGAAACAACCATCTTGAGTGTAACAGGGACACAGAGAAGAACAGTGCAGAGTGGGAGAATTGACATATTTGACACTGTTAGCGAAATGTAGAAAAACCCTCTGAGTGGATCAATTAAAGAAGATTTATTTTTGAGTGTTTCAACACAGTCAGAGCAACAGAAGCAATCATTCTTAATGCAGAAGCAGCCTTTGTTTTGTACCTTTCGTACCACTGCTCACATCACTGCACTTCCTGGTCTGATACTCAAAGTTCAACCTGTTGGTGTGGCAGACTGTTTCCTGACCACGCCCGTGATGGGTGGGGCAAGGGGCGCGGCCTTAAAGGGACAGTGTTTAAAAAAAAAAAGAAAAAACAGAATTGAGACATCCTTGATTGTTTGCTGCCTTGATGGTATAATGAGAAGGTATGAGAAGGAGCATTGCATTAAAACAAGATTGAGTACATTTAAAATGATATTCTACAGCAGCAATTCCAAAAATGAAGACTGATGTTGCACACATTAGAAGTGAAAATTACTCTGGGACCTACCCAGACATCTAATCTAAATTCCCGGATCAAAACTCAAATGAATTATTTCTCAATATATCCCTATTTCATGAATGTATAAATCCTGTTAAAGTGGGCCTATAGCAATTCAGGGCAAATCAATAATCTATTTACATACAAGGGGAAATTGTGTTTTACAAATCAAATTGTAAGGCAACATTATAATTACTTAAAATCTAAAAAATGTATATCCTGTCGTAACCCACCTGCAGTACCTTCAAAGACCACCAGGGTGCCACAGTCCATATTTTGGCATCGGTGCTCCACACAGATCAATGTTGAGATTAAAGACAATAATGTCACTAAGTTTAGCTGCAGGCTCCCTGATAATAACACTAATAATTCCAGAGTTACATGCATGTCATGCTGCAGAGTTCTTAAAGACTGAGGGGCTAAAAGGTGGCCAACAGCCTCATCAGGGGACTCTTTACAGTAAAGCAACATAACCCCGTAATGGAGAGAAAGCACTGCAGCTCAAATAACCATCTATATCCCAGGGCCACAAATATGAACGAGCGTGTAATATGTACACCCCCTCAGAGGGAATGTAGGTCAGTGTTAGGGGTCGTTAACCTAATCCATCTCAGTAATGTAGAGCGCCAAGGTCTCATTTGGACACTATGGATTTCGGTATGACAATAATTATTCAGTGACTTCCTGAAGATAGGGGGTGCTGTTTTCTTCTAAAGTGACTCATGCAGAAAGTTGTAAAAGTATTTCGTCACAGAATGTGTTTTGTTTTTTTGTGTGTGTTTCTTTCAGCGTATGTGTTTTGCTGGGGTTGTAAAAACATCTAGAGGAAGAACAAGAGTATTCAATTTTAATTTACAACCCCCCCCCATCCTAACCCCCTTACCCTTCTACCCATCAGGACAATATAAAGGATGGGAAGTCATATCTTTTGTTTCTTTTCCAGATGAAAATGTTCAATAGAGAAATTGTTGAATGTAAAATGTTGAACATTACTTTTTTTCAAAACTTAAAGTTCATAATATTCATAGGCTCATAGGCACACTCTGAAAAAAATGCATGTAATTAATCCAAAGGGGAAGCCCAATGCAAGAAGTGAATGGAAATTCATAACTAGAAACCCCATTTGTATGTTACAGTAAAATACAGTGATTAAAAAAATCCTCTTTTACAGATTAGCAGAATAAATAATAATAAGAAAAAACAAGACCAATGCACTGATATGAAGTCATCAAATATTCCTACCTCCTCCTCCTCCTCCTCCTCCTCTCCTCTCCTCTCCTCTCCTCTCCTCTCCTCTCCTCTCCTCTCCTCTCATCGATAACCTGTATGACTGATCCAGTGGGTCCCACCCTCTGCTATTAAATGTCAAGGGTGAATGCTCTTGACCTCCCCACACTTACCAACAACCTGCAGAGGCTGACAGGCCAGCATTTTATCAGACCCGGGCGTTCCATCTCTCCAATAGATCCTAGCAAAGGGACCCAGATGTCAATAGTTGTTCCTTTGAGACATTAACGCTCCCTGTGCCGCAGCCTCTCTTGTGACAATGGTCGAGGTGATTATTAACGCTCCCCGCTGGGACTGGGCAGAAGTATGCGGAGATGAGCTTCCTGAAAGGCAGCAAAAGAGGGTAATAAGCAGCGCTGCAGTAGAATAACTCTTTGAAAAGTGTCTTTTCTACTATTTTAGCCCAAAGATTGCTCTGATCAGAGAGAAGTGTGGAGGCAGGGGTTCTCTCAAGGGGCCAAGTGTGGCTTTGTTCCAATATTTCTTGGTGTAACAACCGTTTTTTTGGGTTGCAGATCTATGTATTAATATTAAAGGAAAGTTCAGTACAAGCTATTTCAAAAACATACATTTCCCTCGGAGTATTCGGATAAAATGTGGAGAAAACAATGCTTTTTTTTCTAAATTTACTGGAACGGAAAATTGGAGTTCTTGTACCTAAAAGCCATTCAGATTCTGCTACACGCCTGATGATAATATTAAAAAACACCGGTCATCAGTCATTATAGAAAAACTGAGACGATACAACAAACTTTGTAAGCCCAGGAGGAGCATAAACTGACAAACTGATTAGTGTCCACTGCAGAAAAAAGAGCAATCAAGAAGATCACAGCAGAAAACCAGAAGTCATACAACAAGTCATTCCTATCAGTGGACACTATAAACACCAGACCAATACAAAAGAGAGTCAATAATAAACATGAATTCTATTGAATAAGCCACACAGGCAGATAGACTACATACAGGCTTTATAAATGATGACAAAAACAGCATCCATATCACAGTATAAAGGCACATCATGTCATCCAAAGTACTTCCTAAAGTTCTGTTGAGGATCCCTGCATCCCTAACCTGTCACTCAGAACACTTTTTGTCTGAGCTCAAAGTCACCCAACAGGGACTAACTTCACAACTCTTGTGATTTCCTTCTAATTCCTTCATCGTCTATCAATGTGACAACTCAGGACTCCGACCAATGACAGAAGCAGCCTTCATAATGAACATGTTTGCATAGCTCCTATGACAAGCAGGAATACTGAAACACTAAAATGCAGATGATAAAACAAGGTACTGGCCCCAAAATATTTACAACTTTCCGTCAAAGCGTGAACTTGGACACAGACATAGTCCATAGTGAATCAGTGAAAAAGCTGTTTAAGCATCTCCAGCTTCTGTTTTGTGATTTTTTTATATAATAAAGAGTGGGGTTTGGGGCTTTTTTTTTTCTTTGAAAACAAATTAACCGTGTTGAGAGTCTAGATATGTAGGCCTATTTATTGCTTCACCATATCTGTATTGTTTATGTTTTTATTTAGAGACAGGACAGTGGATCGAGTCAGAAATCGGGAAGAGAGAGAAAGTGGGGAATGGCACGCGGGAAAGGAGCCGCAGGTCAGATTCAAACCCAGGGCGTCCACACTAACCCTATCATTCATTCAAAAGAAGTAGAAGAGCTCTGCTTGGTTCAGGGCTTTTTTTTTTTCTTTTTCTTACCAAAGGTGCTCATAGAAAGGTAAAGTCTGCATGAATCTTTTTTTTTCTCATCAAAGGTTTAAAAGGACTTGAAGAAGCTACACAGAAAAATCAAAGTGGGTTTACTGCACCTTAATAAAAAGCTCTCACTATTATGAAAACATATTCCTCACAGCACGGAGGAACCTTTAAAACTGTATCTCAAGATGTCATGTGCTCTGCCTTTGATTTATCCTCACTTTATTGTACTTCAGCTAGAAGCGCGCTTACAAAATACTTCTTCAAAGTAACTTAAAACAGTTTTTTGTACTTGTAAGCATTGAAGGTATGAAACATAGAAAAGAACAAACAGAAAGAACATCAAACCTCGACACGATCACTTAATTTCTTCTCTCCTCTGATGCTAATGTCTCGCTGTCATTCTACCTGCTCTAAACCAGAAGGAGGGGGGGGGAGAGAGCCTAAAGGGGGGCTGACATCACTGCCTCCTTTTGTCTATTTCCCTGTGGTATTAGAGGATGATGCTTGTGCATGATGTCATTGATTGCAGACCATCCAATATGAGTCCTGCTGGGAAGCCCAGTGCTCCCACTGTGGCTGTTAAGCGCTATGTAATGCAAGACTGGGTGATGTCATTGCAGGAGCACGGGGACCATAAAGTCAAGGATGAAACATAATGCAGCAAGATACATTAATAAAGGATAAGTGATATGGGACAAAGGGGCTATATTCATCTATCATTAAGTGTGTTGCACTTTAATACATTACAAAATGCACTGTATACTAAAGTACGGTACATTTAGTTGATTTGCAAGTAGATTTGAGTTTTGTGATTTGAGATGAGATGAGATTCAACTTTATTGTCATTACACATGTACAAGTATAGAGTAACGAAATGAGGTCTGGCATCTCACCAGAAGTGCAAATAAGCAGAAAGTGCAAGAGTCTGTGCTATGTACAGTAATTACAAAATTTACAGATGTAGACTAAAAAAAGTGAATTATTAGGTATATCTGGATGGCTGGATTAATGGGATGCTATAAATATAAATAAATGCTATAAATATAAGTGTATTCTTAGGATTATAATATACAGATTAAGGTGCAGAGAGCATGCTATACTAGATTACAGATAATATAAAGAATATGGACATATGAACATACTATAATACAATAATACAGGTGGATGAGAGATGTGTGTGTGACCAGGAGGAGTGGTGGGGGGATGATGGGTGTGAGGTGATATGGAGGGGAAAGGGGGGTCAGCAGGGTGCGGAGAGAGAGAGGGAGAGAGAGAGAGAGACAGAGTTCGGAGTTCGGGGGGTAGAGTTCAGTAGAGAAACAGCTCTGGGGAAAAAGCTGTTCCTCAGTCTGCTGGTTCTGGTCCGGAGGCTTCTGAAGCACCTACCGGAGGGCAGGAGGGTAAACAGTCTGTGGGCAGGGTGGGAGGAGTCTTTTGCAATTCAATTACAGATAATGTTAATGTTGGATGTAACCAATGTGGTTTTGTCCATTAGTTTGTCGACTGCCGCTCAGAAGCCAGAGGTGAACATATGTAGACCACAGGGTGAAGCTGGAGAGGAGTAGGGGTTGGCAAACACCAGCTTTTCAACGCTGTAGAGTCTATGTTTGATGTGTATTCATCAGTGAGTAAACCAACATGTGTCTAACACAATGAGATTCTCGTACAGTGGCTGCCTGAAGTGTTTGGTCAAAAGAACTAAGAGGGCTTGTGGGACAAAGCAGTAGAAGTGTGGCAAAAAAAACCCCCCAAAAAATCGATTCACGTCAGAATTATTCATTTGTTAATTTGT